GAAAATGTTAATAAATTAATATTTCAGAATAATAAATTAATATCGCGGCAACATCATATACATTTCTGAGCTCCAAAACTAAGTAGTTAAAACTTTTGTGTTATGGAAATGAAAACTTTAGGTAATAACAACACCCAAATCTGTGACAACATAGAAATACTTTTTTTTTTGTAAATTAATCTCGCCAAGAATCCTACATTACGTTAGAAACGGTGATAACTTTAAACCACTCATGACGACATATGAAAGATTGATCAGACATTGAAGCTTAGACCTGAGATGGTGGTCACTCTACCACTAAGGTTATCGTTACTGCATTAGAGATGACCTCTAAGAAAACAACAATAAACTTTGCATACATACTCGTATTAGATTTAAAAACAGTGGAGAAAGCTACTCCGTCCCCTCCCAAACAGGTGATTTTGGGTCAACATGGCGTCTGAGTCACCTTGAACGTGACATAATTCATATATTACTGATATTCATTTATGGATAAATACAACATTGTGAAATAAAAAACAGCATAGAATTTAACTCGAATGATCATCGTTTTTAGAAGCTAATAGGTCTAGTCTAGCTAGTCGACTTCGACTTTCACAACTGCTTGTAGCCTACACTGAATAAATGATTTTGATTTGATGAGAAAAATTGAAAAAGGTTGGCCAGACCCAAATTTCAAAAACTTTGATTTTAAAAATCAGGATAATGCAGCTTAATAATACTGACACTGTAAAGGACACTGTAATACTACTGACCTAAAAAGGGGGGCATAAACACCGCCGATGATCATGAAAACTACATTTTACTATATATATGAAATTTGGAAAAATTCTTAATGAATTTTTAGAATAATCTCTGTGTTATTGTCAACCAAAAGCTCAACTTATTTACTAACGGATAAATTATTGCCATTTTACTAATTTTAAAAAATATAGGCCAAAAATCGGTTTTTATAATTGGAGAATAAAGAATCAGTTTTATATTTCGAGTGAAGTAGCCTGCATACACGTATCTTATTGTTGAATAAGGCATATAAAAGTAAGCTTTCTTATATTTCACGTTTATTTTGGGATTTGAATTTATTCACATGGCACAACAAGCCAACAATTATTCATTATTTAACACGTTGGTTATTTTTCAATCAAAAATGCTTAAAAATCCATTTTGTTCCTGGCACTCTGAGATGGGACTTAGCAGATTAGAGCAGATAATTTTTTCATTAAGAATATTTTTCTGAATAGCATGCATTGTGCATGCAAAATAGATCAAATATAATAATAGGCTAGTTGACAACTTTTTTTATTTCATAAATAAATAGTCCATTAACATCTGAGAAATAATGTCGAAGTCTGCGATTAATAGTTTCGGAGTTACGATGCTGTGTTTGTAGAACTGCTGCTAGTTGGCTTAAAACGCTCCCTACAAATTTAAGGCACTCAGTGACGTCACATGGTGCTACAGTAGCGCAAAATGAATGGGCGTCTGGACAATTTTTGTAATATCTTTGTTATTTGTGCGTTTATGTTTATAGCTGTTATAATAAAAGTTGTAACATTTTTTATATCTAATTTAATGCCTTATGTATTTTAGAAAATTTTTGTAGTAGATTTTCTCTACTTTTTTCAAGTTTTCAAAGCGTAATATTTTCCAAATCAGTGACTTAAAATTTGTTTTGTTAAACATTTATTTTAAGTTAAAATGGTTCATATTTTCCGAAGATATAACAAAAACCTGTATTTTCACTTGTAGGACACAAGCCGTTTATAACAAATTTTCATCTTTATAGAATGTTTAAATATTTATTTTGGGTGGTTGGGTGGATTGCCTGAACATTGATGAAAATACGCTCTGTAGTAGCGAAAAACTATCAAGTGCTTGTAAATTCGTCAGTCTTATTAGGTCCTGGGCAGCTCAGTGATTAGAGCAGTCGCCTGGACTGCGAAAGGTCATGAGTTCGAGTCCCATCCCAGAGTGCCAGGGTTAAAGTGGATTTTTTAGGTATTTTTTATTAAGAGTATTTTCATTATAGCATTGGGAATGCTAAATTGTTCTAATATAATAACGCTAGTTTTTTCACACGATTCGACAAAAAAATAGATCTCGTTCTAACACCGACAAAAGAAAATAATAAATTCCTTTGTAAAGAACAAGTCAATTTTGAAAGTTCCTTGCCGCAAAGAGAAAACAATACAGCTAGAACAATGTCGATATATATTATGATTTAAAAACCTTTGAGTGTAACGCCATCTTGAATTCCGAATGAAATCAGAGGGGAATAAATAGAAGAGTATCCGTGTCGGAGAGGTATTAAAATAAAATAGATTCACACCCCATGGAATGAATAATAAAATTGAGTGCACGTTTTCAAATGTGTTTTGTTGCATTGCGTATTACATAAAACTGTAAAACAACTGTAAAACTGTAAAATGAACAAAGAACGGTCCCCCGACTGCAATAAGAATTTTGTTTAGCCAAGCTATAAAACGACTTGTTTCTCTTATTTTGAATTCGGTTTTGGCAGTGGTGTTTTTATTTTTTTATAAAGTGTTCATTTTTATTTTATTCCTTTTAGTGATCAGTAAATGTAAATAAAGTTTACATTTTGGTATGTACTCATAAGAATTAGTTTTTCATATTTTTTAAAAGACGTCATACGTCCGCCATATTCAATATTTAATAAAATATTTAGCCCGTGTTACTCGAGATGATGTAAGGTTTCTAATGATACCCGAAACATTTGTATATGTTTTTTCATTCAAAAGTTATGGTGGAATAAATAAACTATGTGTGTGAGTTTCTTTACTTTACACTCCTATATTGGACAGTCGTGTAAAAATTTTAGTTGTGCTTCCTCAGGGAACTTCCTCGGGAACAGCGGATTTCTTAAAAAATTTTAAATAGAGCGAATTCTCCTTTCTCAGTTATTATCTTGTCACCATTTGAAGTTTAAAGTAAAAAAAATATTATAAAACCCATTCTGTCATGTGCCTTAGTTGTATTTTAAAAATAACATGGAATAACAAACAAGCAATCTAGTCGCCTTTGGAATATAATGTTATTAAATTATGTAATTTATAATGAATATTAATTTATAAATAATTGTATTTTTTTCATAAATCCTCCTTCAGGATGGGAGACTATACAGAAATTTAGCAAAAATAGGTTTTGAACCAAAAGAACACTAACATTTAATTTGATAGTTATTTATATTAAAGCCTACGCCGTCTGTGTGTATGTATCATAGAATATTATGATCACTATTACAATAAACAATAAAAAACAAAAAAATTCTAATAAGATATAAAAGAGATTACTTAATTTTCATAATCTTCATAATGTAATTGAATAATAATTGGACATAATGAAGTATTTTTTATACGTCCGTCGTAAATAATGAAATACATTAGATCGCCTACTAAGAGTTCCGTAAGATTTAAAATTTTGAAGTTATAAATTTAGTAAATTACATAGTTAGAAATTTAATAACTATTTCCAGTCGAACAGTTTCAAAGCTAAGAGTGACTTTTGCTATTTTTTTATTATATCAACTATCAATTGCAAATAAAGTAAATAATATTAACGAATATATATGAAACCTTTTCATATAATATCACATCACAAAGCTGTCAAAAATATTTAAATTTTCTAATTTAACCCCCAAAATAGCCCCTGTGTTTTCAAATTATTTATTTATGTTACACGTCTAAATGCGTACCAATTCCATAAGTCAATCAGTAGTTTTAGCGCAAATTAGCTGTGTCAGACAGCCTTACTGATAAAAGTTTTGTCTTTTCCTTTTGAGCTACGGAACTCTAAAAAGTAATTAAGATTCAAGTAGAAGCGCAATGAAACAGCTATACCCAAGTTTGGCGGCAAATAGAGCAACCGTTACCTATCGACTCTCTTGCAGTGAACACGCGCATGCCGTGCGTCCCGCTCGCACGCTACCGCCATGATTAAATACACGTCAAAAAAGTTTATCACTCCATTTCGTGTGTTCAAAATGTAAGTTTTTGAAACAGTTACTAAAATCCCGTAAAAAAAGGAAATTTTGGCATAATGAAAATTTTTTTTTTTTTTTGTAGAGTGTAGAGTACTTTCGAATTAATCTACGTGTACGCATATTTTGACGATATCACTTATCGGTTTTCTTTTCTGTTTTCCTTATCCGTAAAAATGCTAATTGCCTCACAATATTGGAAAAAATACATATAACCTTAATATGTGTAATTGATAGTTTTTGTGATTTAATAAGATTTGTGTCTTCAATCTCTATTTTGTGTCGACCTCACAAAAATATAAAGAAAAATAAGATCCTGTTTTTAATTCGGTATTGATGTAGAATATATTTATATATTCAACTTTTTATTTTCACTCTATTGCCACTAAAATAACTTTTAAATATTATTGCCAGATTAAAAAATATATGTATCACATAACACCTATCAATAAAAGTTATAATAACACATCTAGCACTATGTGCTCGTAGCCAACAATAAACGATTAGAAATTGACCTTTTGATTTGGTAATTTTAAAAAATGCCAACATTTTAAATGGTCATTTTAATCCAACTATAATTTTTACGTCATAGGCTAAGCAAAACAGTAAACAGAAAGAGCCCACTCTAACCAAAAATTTTTTTTTCTTCGTTATATCATAACAAAAGTCATGCGTGGTATTGAAATGTTAAAATTTAATCGTCTCCAAAACAAATTGTATAATAGTAAAGTGAAAATACGGAAATTATGTACAGAATAAAATGTTATTGCTAATCACCAACTTTAGAATTAATCCTAAAATAACATATTATTGTTCGAACGCATCGAAATTAAATTACAAATACAGAAACCATTAATCAAGTTATAATAAAATACTTTTGAACGATTTTACATTAGTAAAAGTCATTAGTTCAGCAAATTTTTTTAATCGATAATTCTCTAAAGTTAGGATACTATTCTTATGAACAATTGATTTGTCTTACTTCACTCACATTCTCGTCTATTTGTTAAAAATATTTCTTTAGCTATTACGAAGAATAACTTATGAAAATAACGTAAAACATTAAAATTAAAAATAATACAAACTAGAAATATTTCCAGGGTCTAACAAGCATCGGAGATGCTCCACCAGGCCCGCTGGCTTATGCTGCTGATAGCAGCAGCTCTCGCGCTGCAGTCCCGAGGAGAAGGAGGCATCAGACTACCAGACCAACCGCCCAAAGAGGAAAACCAGGGGAGGTCTTTAAACTTTGGTGGCGATGATAGGGGAAGATCGGTAAGTTAAAGCTAAGACCTTATTTCGTTATTACCTAACGGCTTCTTCTTTTTCATAAATTCTGCAATCCTAATTCTCAGGAAGTCCGCGTAATAATTTTAAAAAATAAACAAAACGTACAAAGTAATAATATTATTTAAATTAGAATTTTTAGCCTATATATCTATCTTTCCTCCAAACATCAAGGCTTTTTTTAAACATTCGTATCGTAAGTTGTGTTGTTTTAATAACAACTCTTTAACTAGTTCTGGAGTATATCTGATGTTATTATTGATTCATCTGCAAGAGAACAGCAAAAAACATTAAAAGAAAAAAACCATAACACACCATCACTCCAAAAGGATTGTACCTAAAGAAAATTTGTTTTGAAAGTGTATTGTTGGAAGCTATTTTCAAGAAATGTATTTTCATTCGTTAGAGAGAAAATGGACGAAAGCAAATGTACTGGAAAATATTTAAATACACTTACTTTAGAGAAACACATTCGAGTTTCAATTACATCCAATTAAATTAACCTATTCTTAAAATAGAATCCACTCTCGTCCTGTGCAAATTAATTTCAGGGTTTTACGCCATTACAATAATTAAACATTGTATAATACAGAAACATATTTGCGTTACAATGTTGCTTATCCCGTTTAAAATCAATTATTCCGTAGTAATTTGGTAGAATATTTGTTTAATTATAATCAAAATATGCATATAAATTGCAAAAATTTGTTTCCTGTTCTGGAAATGAAAATGAATGAATGCAATGACGTACTTACTTATAACTCCTGGAATTCGGATAGTTAATTAGCGTATGAAGCGATTTATTTTCGCTATATAAACTTTTTGTTAATAATTGGTTTATTGATTTAACTTTGTGTGATTTAATATACGAGAAGGCTTTTTTAAATAGACGTCTATTTGCTACTTTATTCGAAACCTCTGCTAATTTCTAGACTAGACCTCTGCTATTTTAAGAATATCAAAATGGATCAGAGAGTAATTTTAATTCCTTTACAGGTAATGAATATCTGAAATTTTCGGTACATTTTTTTAATTTACAATGGAAACTTATATATTAAAAGAAACATGAAGAGATTAAAATAAACGATAACTTATTTATTAATTTTATGAAACCATTTATACTCGTCATCATCATCAACAGTAAGATTTAATATATGTTATTTGAATGTTTTATATGAATGGAGAGATTCAGTTTAATGCATGTAGTGTACACAAGTTCGTAGATTGCAATTCAGGCGATAATATTAGTTTGATTGTTATAGTGATTAGTTTATCAATTGTAATTTGTTTTGTGTACCATAAATAAATAAATAAGATGCCCGCTGCTAAGCATATGACTACCCCATCTCCACGACGATGGGTTGTGCGCTGCCCGCACCCAGCAGCTTCCCGCAACCTTTATAAGTTAATATTGTTAATAATAAGTAAGTAGTTAATATTGTTTTCTATGTTACTTTCAGCCTCAAGCCCAAGGTCGTGGTTTCCTTGATTGGTTGGGCTTTGGCGAAGACCAGGACCCGTACATCCAACAGGCTACACAGCAGTGCATCAATGGAGACTTGGCTGATTGCTTCAAAGCTCAAGCTCTTAGGTCTTTCGATGATTTCTTCGATAAACAAGCATACCAGTAAGTATAATAAAAATATTATTTTGAGCATTATTATAATAAATTTTTGATGTAAATTCATTAATTTTTTAACGACTAAATTCTATGTGCCACATTAAAATATACGTGTTTTATACTTTAATTACACCTTTTTTGGACACTGTTTCATTGTGAAACTAGTAGAAAGCTGCTAATTTTAGGTGTAGGTACGTGACTTAACAGAACTTAACAAAAGTATTGATAAATAAACTTTAAAAAACGCTTAAGATAAGAAAACTAATGTGAAAATTACGGAAAATTATATTTAACTAAAATATTTTCTTAATCCTTGACAACAAGATTCATCACATAAATATAAAAAAATATGATACCATTCAATTATTGAAAATCGAAATAAATATAATGAATTATAATTTACTCGTTTTTAAATATAAATTTAAGTACTTTATGAAAAAAGTATACGTACCATAAGAAGATATGAAACAAGTTATTAATAAAAAAATCTTTTTAATTCATCATCATTATCAGCCCTGTTACATCCCTAATGCAGGGTCTCAGGCCTTTCTTATGGATAGTGTAGGAGAATGGGCCATGACCCTCCACGAGAGTCAAATGCGGACTGGAGAGTTTTAACGACTGCAGATGCAGCCAGGATCAACAGCTTAACGTGCCTTCCGAAGCACGGAGTCGAGATAATATTTTTTTTGTCACGCATCCTGTAACCAACCTTTGCGAAATTTGCTTGACAGCAACGATCGCGGACTGCGGCGCTTGTGCACTTTGCCACCGAGATACACTGAATTTCTTTATTAACAGGTTATCTGATAATGCAGTACTAGTGAAAGTAGAATCACAAGCCAGAGCTCTAGTACACGAACCACCAACATTAAGTTCTCAACCCCGCAGCGAAGATTCCGACTGGGATGCCTTAGTCAAATATGGCATGAGGAAGATTGAACGGTAACTATTTATCATGTACAATAAACTTTTAACTACAGATTACATTGTTATGCTTGTCTTTGAAGTCAAGGAGAGCCTTGTACTATTGGTGCGGAGTCTCTGCGACAAAAAATCACCAAATGCACAAACCATGACACCAATTATGGTCTATGGTACAAACTAAAGTTAAGATCTTCTTGATCTGAAGCTACGCGCGTAATGGTAACTTCCTGTCACCTGATACCGTTCTTGTGGATCTTTACAGAGCTTTTGAACAAGCAACAATTAGAATTCATAAAATTATTTGCGCACGGTAACAAAAACATAATTCATCGCGACAAAAACATCACCAGCGCGCCCATAGCCTTATAATATAAGAATAAGCCAAAATCTTAAACTCGATCGGAATAAATGCCCTCAAAAATTTAATTAAGACAATTGTATACCACGCTTGCGGGAAACAAATAGAACAATAAAGTTTCATTTAAAAAATAACTAATCCAATTTCACTGATTATTATAAACAAATCACAATTTATCTGACAAAACCATTTTTTATTTAAACCGTTATTAAGTTACATAAATCATATCATAAATCTTTGCACTGTTTTTGTCAGCACCGATAAAAAGCTTTTTCGGTATGTTTAAATGCGGCTGAATTAAATTTATTACCACCTCTATAAAATAGGGTTCTCATTTTAATACAATACAGTTCAACTATTTTTCAAGTTACTAAAAAGTCTTAATATGAGAAAAGTAAACGTTAGCGTTCGAATTTGGAATTACGTATGTGATAAACTTCTTGTAAACATATTTAGAAATAAAATAAAACATATCATATGACTATTTTGAACTTTATCTGTGTTGTATGTACTCTGAAAACCGATTACCGTTACCTTCAACATATTGTGCTCTCTCTTATTCTATGACATCAAAAATATATAAGTTAGAGCAAGACAAAATACTGTTACTAGATGGCAACATCTGGTGCTCTGTCACTTGCTAGTAACAATACGCAACATCTGCCCTGCGATTCTGTAAAAATGTACTCTGGCGGGGAATGTGCCCCAACTTGCACTCCCTTAGATTCAGACCTGTGTAATATTTCGAGTTTAAAAGAATAGGGTCTGATTATTATGAAAGTTATATTCAAATTGTCATTGAAAAGTGCTCAATCTTCAAAAAATAAACTTAGCACAGCAAGCATAATTCTACATAATATTATATTTACAGATTTCTAAGATCTACTGCTCTTGAATTTCAATTAGACGATGAAGTTACATCCAATGGAATAACTGCCCCAAGATTCCTTGACGATATCGCTGATGAAGTTGACATAATTGAAGACAAAAAGGCACCACCATTCCGTAAGTTTCATAGTAAAGTGAAAATATACTTAAAAGTATAGCTTTCATTTAGTTCAAGTCGTCTTTTTGATAACTTCAACACACTAAACCTGAATTCAACCCATTTTACTAGTTGAATTGATTTTTAAAAGAATATTTTTTGATACCTAATACACAAAAGTATTAACGAACATTAAATGATCTACATGCTTTCCTTGGTCAAAAGATTACGGTATATGTTGATCGTAATAGCTGGTATCTGAATAGTTGCATGCAATACCATCTTTGTCACCATAACACAACAAAGGTAGACCATCGTATTGATAATATTATATCCAGTTTCTAAATGTTTCACGATCTAAGAATAAAAATTGTCTTGTTACCAGGTCGCCATAAGTTGAAGAAGCTGATCATCCCGATGCTGTTAATTTTGAAACTGTTCAAAGTGAAACTTCTGTTGTTCCTACCTCTCATACTTGGACTGGCAAGCTTTAAGAAATTCCTCGGTTTCATGGCCCTGATTGTTCCAGGTAAAAATTTAAGACGTTTGCATATATTTTTATTAGGCATTGATATATGTGACCATCAAATTGCTATAATACTGACATAATATATATTGTAGTATAATTATCACATTTTATAAATATAAAAGAAATTAATCATTGTTTTACTTATAAGCACTCGCTAGCCTCCTTAGTGTAATCAATTACTAATATTTATATGATTTCTACGTTACTAATGTCGAAAATGTTGATGTTTCGCAGGAGTAATAGGATACTTCAAATTCTGCAAACCCAACCTTAGCTCTCCTTTTTCACCAAGTCACTACAGTGGCCCTCAGTACTCGCCAGCTGGCATTGGCCTTGGCCCATACAGAGAAGGACATGCTCCAGCGCAATATGCACATTATGATGGCTACGGTGTAAGTAAACCATTATCACAAGATTCGCTAGATTTCATTTATATTTGTTGTTTGTTGACTTTCATTTAATCTGTGATTGAGATGAATGTCGTTGGTTGGAGAGCAAATTAAAGAATTAAGAAAAGATAGATGGACTGTGGAGTTATGATACGAAGTAATATGATGAGGTGACAGCTGATAGATAAGAGTGTAAGAACACTGCGCCAATCCCAATAGACTAAGAACAGAGCAAGAATATGACGACTTGTTGACAATAATTCTCTGTTTCAAGACGGCTATCATATTAACTATACACTTAAACTGTAAAGGATAGTAACACATTGATAGACTTTTACTACTATGACACTTTTTGTAAATCACATATTGAATATAGTTTGTTGAAAAATATAATTACATATAGAAGATAAATTTATTCCCATAAATTGCTGACTTAATAGATGACACCTCTTTATTAAATTTATAGCATATTACACTTGAAACATTCTGAATCAATCGAGATCTGAGTTCTTCACGTGGCCTATAATTAAATATTGCTCAAACTCAATTTTCGGTACCTAAACAAAATAACTAAATGGAGCAAATAGTGTTACTATATAATACTTTGTATTTTTCTAGAACGTTGGTCACAAATATGGCTCCGGCGGCGGTATCTCGTTTAGGGAACACGACAACAGTCCGCAAGACCTAGCATACCAAGGCTGGGAGTACAGGAATAAGAAGAATGGAGACGACATTAAAGCTGGCGAAGTATAAGACTGAAATTATATTAATGGTAATAGTAAATTTACTTTAAAAACACATTGAATAACTTCGTCTACGACTATGGAGAGGCAATTAATCGAACATATGGAAAAATATTTTTTCCATTTCATTTAAAAACAACTTACATTAAAATAATCGACAATAATTTTCAATGCTTATTATGAAAAACAAGTAGCTAAACTGTGTGTTTTATTCCAAGCATTGTGTCTCAATTTCATCGAGCTGGTGAACAAATTAATTTTTTAATGAATCAATGAGGCTAATACGAAACAAACCGTTAGTAAATAAATTATTCAATGACGTATTTTTCATAGTCTATATTTTGCCATGCTTCCTATTAATAAGTTATCGTTTTTAATTCGGTCTTCCGAATGTTTTGTAAATAGGTATCCTAGAAAATGTATATTATTATCATTATTAAGAATATTATTATATTTAAGATAGTGTCTAATATTAATTTTGTTAAAATCATCAGTTGATTTGAAATATTATTTATAAACCAAAATATGAATTAAGTATTTTTTAATTTTTATAATAAATATTTTTTAATGAAACTCCAACTACTTTTATTATTTATCATCCCCCAAGAATTAAATTGAACTTAATCAACAAGTAATTTTGTTAAGGGGTAAAGAGTGTTAACTCTTAATATTTATTAAACCATAAAAAAATGTTTTTTTTTTTTTTGTAAAAATAAAATATTAAAAGTTATTTAAGATAATAATGAATCACCGTTTTCTCTTTATACTTAAGATCTATCGCTAGCCTATTTCTTATGGGTAAAATCGAGTCGAATAGAGAGAATGGGCCATGACCAAACTAATGGGCGTTAACGGCTGCAGATGCAGCCAGAACCAACGCCTTAACGTACCTTCAGGAGCACGGAGGAGCTCGAGACTAAACAATTGTAATTTATAATTTTATTAGCCTATTTAGTTCAGTTAATGTCTAGTAATCTCTAATTATATGACATAATTAATGAGAGTCAAGGAGGATTGTTTAATTATTCCATGTTAAATATGTATTATCATACACTCGAAAGTAGGTCTGTGTATATATCTGTTACGCTCTATGCCTAACCCACTAAACAGACTTGAGGACATAGCATATAGGTTGCTTTTATTGTAGTAAAAGTGTTGACATAGCGATTCAAAGCTGTTCAAAGTTTGTATTTAAGTTTGTCGTTGTCTAGGATAAAATCTTGAAACTTTATATTCGACTATTTTACATGGTATAATAAATAAATATTTATTTTAGCATTTTCAAACTGCTGCCCAAATTAACTATACCACACCGACAAAATCGCGGGCAAAAGCTAGTTTTAAAATAAACCTAATGAAATTTGTGACTAATGGAGCTTTTAATACATTTTCTTTAAGCTCGTATTGCGTATTACTTAAGTATTTTAATAATACTTTAGTAATACGAAACTTAGGTTTGAGAATGGAAATAACAAAAAATATTTAATATAGGTCACTATTACGAATTGCTTCGAACTATTTCAATAATACTTAGTTGTTGACGACATTGACAGATTATCCTCCCTTAAATACCTTGGAATTCATTCATTTACTAAAGAACGCAGACCTTGCTTTTTTATTCAATAATTACATATGTGTTTTAAAAAGCTACTTTCCCCATCTTTAAATATACAAATCCCAAGTATAAAACTATTAAAAAAAGGTATGATAGTATTTCATATTCAAGTGGTATTTAAAAAAAAATATAAAAAAAAAGAAGTAAAATAGATTATAAATATTTGATTTTATAAAATCACCAATATTTCTTAACATGTACATTAACAACATCTGTGTTATTATCACCATCGTTATCATTATTGTTGAGAAATTCTATTTCATCGAGATCGGTAAGAACAAATAAATCTTCTCTATCGTCACTTCTTCTATTTCTCCTATGTTCTTTCATAGAATGCAATTTTTGAAAAGGCATCGGATATCTAGAAACTCTGTTATTCCATTTATGTTTTTTCTTGTCCTTCATCTTTGTATTTGTCAAATTAGCATTCATCTGTGAATTTTCTTCATTTTCATAATAATCTAATACATCTCCATTTGTCGGTGATTTTGTAGTACTAGTTTGCTGGTTCATATACAGCTTCTTGTGAGATCGACTCTTCTTAATTATCTTCTGTATAGTTCTTTTTGGCGATTTTTTCGTCAATTTCTTTTTTATTCTGTGTTCTTCGTCTATATTTCTTATATTGGGCACTCTAAGCAAATTCTCGACTTTGTCTATATAGGTCATGTTAAATGGAACTGTCTGTAACAAAAAAATGATTTATAATAGTAGAGGTTTGGCAAAACGTCAAACTAACAACGAAGAACAAAGTGATACGGAAAACAGCTCCTATCAAAATCACCATATTTTTAAATTTAAATACAATAACTAAACATTCATACTTAATCGTTGATAATTAATCATGGGAGAAAACAAAATTTTCCACTATACATTTTTGTAGTAGATTAATGTACTGACGAAACAAAACATTTTGTTCTTACTTATTTTAAGTAATCGAACTTTGAAATTTGATGCATTTGTCCTTCCTTTTATTTTCTTTATATTCTAATCAAAAAATCACATAGCTTTGTACATTTTAATGGCTTGTGCGAATCAAACTAAAGGTTCAATATTTCCTCTAGATTCTTTTCGCACTGCCTGCCCCTGATTAATTGTATTATAAAATCTGCCTCAAGAGGTCGACAGAATTAAAATTGTTATAAGCTTCGGTTTTCTAGAGAGGACGAAAGAAAACTGGAACAAAAAATCAAGCTTCGTTCAGCCGATGCTGATTAATCAAATACATCACGACAGACGACAATTTGTCAACAGAACGCTGGTAGTGATTAATTTAGCGAATAAATCTTTAAAGCTAGAAGTACACTTAAAGCAATGCTATTTATTTTTCGGCAATAATTATATTCCTACATTTGAGGCAGAATAAAGACATTCATCAGATTAAGTGTTAATAAACAACAAATTTATTACAGTTTGGATAACCAATGGTACTAAATTTATACATAAAAAAAGAACGACAGGTAACTTTTAACAAAATAATTTATTATAAAATCACTCTTAATATTAAAGTTAAGTCCTGTATCGGCAGTTTTGAATTCACTTAAGTTACTAAATACTCATCTTTATTATAATATAAATAAAATTCTTTGTATTATAATAACAATCAGTACGCAAATAACCATTCATTCAATAACCACGAGTTCTTATTAATCGTCAATCCTGACTTTAATTCAAATTATTATTCAATAAATGTACAGACATGAACGGATCACCTATTTACACACTGCCTTACTGAAGTACCAGCTAGCCTGATTAAAACTCTTAATGGGCCCACAGAGGCCCACCCCTCTAATAGACCAGAGCACCGTCTTTCTATTGACCTAGGGAAATACACTTGTATAGGTATATAATCATATAGTTAGACATAATAGTACAAATTAACTATATATTTCAGCTCTATATATAAAGACTGAAATAGTTTCTCTTTGAGTATTATACAAGCATCTAGAAGCCATCAATAATTGGGAAATAAACAGAATCCGCTTAAATTTCTTAAGTAATAACGAGTTTCGTAACAAGATATTATGCTGCTTACCGATTTAACCGTATTGAATTCTTTGGGACTCCTGCTGTCATTCCAATTGTGGTAGACGACTGCCTGAAAATAAGAAAACAAATCGCTTAAAAATTTAATATTCAGAATTCGAAGTTCTTTGAATCCTTTCTTTCCTTCGTTCGTTTAATAACTATGGAAGTACCGAGTACGATATTTAGCAACTTTCACATCCAATCAATACCTACTATACAAGACATGATGCACGTATACAAGAGGCAATAATTGATATTCAATGGATCAGTCGCTGCATAGACTTCTTGTTACATGTATGCACGTACCTACATACTGATTGGCTGTGGAAGATGCTACTTTTTAAGGTCATTTTTCGGATTTTATTGAGCCTTGAGAACATACTATTTCGTAGTTACACAGTTCGTTTGAATGAAGTGCTATATTTATATAAATTACCCTATGTCGATGTTCTAATGACTAGAGAAACATATGATTACTTATATCCAAGACTTCCATGCACTCCAGTCGTTTAAAAATAACCAACTGACTGCATGGCGTATGTCCTTGGTAGTCTGACTATTAAAGTTTCCCAGCACTGGCGAATATCTTTCAATAGTTTGTCGTAAAGAACGAAAAATGAGTATTGGTTAAAAAAAAAAAAAAAAATTTTATCTCAAGCTAGCGAGTGAATGTGTTAAAAAATTAAGTGTTTTGTATCTGTTTTATGTTGCTTTATTTAAAGGAATTTATAGAAAACATAGTCTCTTTATATAAACGTGAAATTTTTTCTAGTGAGAGGACTTCCATTGTAATTTTCATTGTTTGACTTAAAATGTAAAGAGCTTAATGGGATAAAATTTAAGGAAGTTTAAAACTATTTGACGCCATTTACCTATATATAATGTATGTTCAACGTTTGCACGAAATTGAAAACCAAGTAGAGTGAAAAGGGATGAACAGAAGAACGACAGCGGTGAGTATATCACTTCAAACTATTTGAACCAATTTTCCAGAGACATTTACGAGGGAAACGGAAAATGTTACTTAGAAATGCAAGAACGTAGAAGAGACAAGGAAACAAAGGTATTCTACTGATTAATTAATCATTTCACTTCAATGAAAGCAGTCCCTGAGATGCAGATATCATCGAAAATAAATATTTTTTCATAAAATCTTAAAAATAAATACGTGGTATACCTACTTTGAAAGTCCTAAGTATCTTATCGCTTAGCGCCATTAATTCATTACAGCTTACCCATAATGGTTTTAAAAATATTTAAACATGACACTTGCTTCGCTCGCTAACTTGACTTGTTAATTTTGTAAAAGTTCTAGCATAACCGTTTCTTTCATGTAACTTTATATTGCATGTAAGAATCTGTTATTAACATTTGTTATAATATTATGCAATTTAGCCTACAATATAATTATGCCGACTTATACTTGTTGCCAAAAAAAAACTATTATTAACCTATTATTAAAACTTTGGTAAACTATTATTATGACAAAACGGTTATGCAAAAGTTTATTAAGAATAAGGATCATAATATTCAATAACCATTTTTTAATAATTATTGATATCCTCATACGACCTGGATATTTTTATTCATACTCTACCGGTTACACGTAATTTTCATGTGATATCATCAAAGAAGGAGTCCTTATTGACAGAGGGAACTCAAACCTGTCCCTCATTCTTTTGTATACCACATCTGATAAACACACTTGTAACATAGTCGGAAATGCTCAAGTAAAATACTTTTATCCGACTGAAAACTTCGTTTGAAGATTTCTTGTGTCTTAAAACTCGCAAAAGATAAAATATTGCGTATAAAGTGATATAAAAAAGCGATTCCATACCTAATATCTGCATTTTTTCTCTGACAAATTATCTTAGAATTTTTGTAGCAACAGTCTTCTTTACGGAAAATATTTCTCTTAAAAGATTCCCATGTTACTAATAGGTTCATAACTCAGAAGCTTACCAGTCATTTGATATGAAGAGAAAAAAAATAGAATATTTTTTATTACTTCCAAAAACTTACTGTATCTCAAAAAATATCGAAAGAAACACATAATTAGAGCACAATTATGTTAAATTATTATACATAATTATCTATCTGAATTTTTCAAATTTATTCGAATCTGATTCAGAAGAAATATTGTACAACTCATTATGAAAACAAATTGATACCCTAAAAGGCCCGTTTTCGTGAATCACCTCACAAATAAGGGGCCATTTCGCTTAGTACCTTTAAGATTGCAGGCGATTCATAAAGTAATTTAGTTTAATAGCAGCTATCTTAAATGCTACCACTCTTAACAAATATCTGTAGATCACAATATGTTTACTCTATGTACTTTAGAGTAAATTGCCTACTAACAAGATCTCAAAATAAACTCACTACATTTCTGGGCTCAAACGTGTCTCGTCTAACTTAATAGTGCTTACAAATAAATCAGATGAAATACGCATTTACAGTGACTTCGAGACTAGTTCGTAGGGACGGTACACCGTTTGGGAAAAGGCTCGGTTATTGTCCAAAATCTTCAAGTCACAGAGGGCGACTCCCTCTTTCTCTCCTTCTCATTGGGGACCATTAGACTCCTCTCATTCCAGCTTGTATTCAGACGGGGCCCTCATTGCAGGATACTTTTGACCGATTTTTATAATGGCATATTAGTTCATCATAGTTTTTGCTGAGACTCGAGTCTGTGAAATATGTTGCCGTACGCCGCCGAAAAAAAAGATGCCGTACTGATTTAAACTGGAACGTTTTTAAATCTGCCAGGAATCACTGCAATATGATGGCAATAGCCTCAAAACGCCAATACTTTCATGACAACATTGTAAATTCTAATCTTGCCTATACGTGTTCTTCGTTCTTTGGGTTTCGGTCAAAGGCCTACTCAGTTTAGTTCTTCTTGCTCGCTGGATGAACTTAACAAGAATTTCACATCTGTTGCCCCTATTTCTGACTCTATTGTTAATTCTACTATATCTTCTACTACTTCTACGGCATCTTCTCGTTCCAATCATTCTCATTCAGGCCTTTAACTGAAAAAGTCGTCCGTAAGATCATAGTATCCATCAAATCTAAAGCTGATGGCGAGGGTGATGACGATATTGGTAAAACAATGATCATGCTCGTACTTGATTGTGTCCTTCCTGTTCTTACCTTTAATCTAAACTACTCCCTCTCCTCTGGCAAATTTCCTACCACTTGAGAAAACTTTTCACTCTTCCACTACCTAAAATACTATTTCCGGCCCATTTCTATTCTTCCATATCTTCTTCCATCAAATCTAAAGCTGATGGTGAGAGTGATGACGATATTGGTAAAACAACGATCATGCTCGTACTTGATTGTGTCCTTTCTGTTCTTACCTTTAATCTAAACTACTTCCTCTCCTCTGGCAAATTTCCTACCACTTGACAAAACTTTTCACTCTTCCACTACCTAAAATACTATTGCCGGCCCATTTCTATTCTTCCATATCCATTTCTATTTCTATTATTCAATTATTCAATATTATTCAATTCTGGCCCATTTCTATTATTCGTGGACGCTGACAGGCTGTGCGAGTTAATCAAAAAACTTCTGATTGGTTTAATTTGACTGCCGGTGTCTCACAAGACGGTATACTTTCTCCCCTTCTTTTCTCGTTATTTATGTTAACTCTCTTACTACTCGACTTCAATCTTCTTATCATCCATATGTAGACGATCTCCAGATATATGCTCAGACAGAGAAGAGCCACATTAACGACGCTATTCTGTGCCTCAATCAAGATTGAGCATTTTGGAGTGTCAAACAGGTACGAAGTGGATGTAAATACAACGTATAATTGCGTCAAAGTATTATTATAGGCAGTTCACGTCAATTGTCTGTTATTGTAATAAACCCATTACTTCTCTGCTGTATAATGGACAAGTCATCCCGTTTCAGTCCAGTGTTAAAATTTAAGCCTTCACATTGATTGCTCTCTCAACTGGGAGATGCAGGTTGCCGAACTGTGTCCTAAAGTTGTAAATACGCTTAAGTCACTACTATATAGTGAATTTGTTCTTCTGTAAGAACCGATAGGTTGTAGGTGTGGTCGTACTGGATGATGAATACAACTGGCAAGGGAGACTAAAGGTAATTGTCTCCCTCCGAGCTAGGTGTTGTTAGCCCGGGTACCGCGGTCCTACCGATGTAGGTTGGATATTCTATTTATGCCAATTGGTAATGAAACTTATTATGGGCGATGTAGGTTTCTTTGTTCTAACTACCTTGTAGTATCTTAATTTACAATTTTTGTAGTGATACAGCGCCATCTCGTTACTGGGTGAAAAGTCTTCTTCTTGCAGTTCGTCTTGCTATCGATTGCTGTGACGATGCTAGTCTTCTCACTATCGATTGTTATGGCGATATTAGTGCAATAAGTTAGATGTCGCTACGAATCAGTCGCCACACTTCCATACAACAATAAAATTGCATTAGTACAGACTCTTACTCTCCCCCTTCTCGACTACGCTGACGTCTTTTATTCTGACATTAGTCAATTTCTTCTCAAAAAATTGGATCATTTGCTTAATAGCTCTGTTCGTTTATATTTGGCCGTCGTAAATACGATCTAATCTCTGAATACAGGAAACAACTCGGATGGTTAACTATTCACCTACGCAGGAACTTGCGAGTTGTCTGTGTTCTTTTCAAAATCCTTTACGATCCATGTACCCCTGGATATTTAAGGTCTAGGTTTCAATATCTTCAGATCTTCGCTCTATTGGCAACCTGATTCTTGAAACTCCCGTTCATCACACAGATTATGTTTCCAAATCCTTAACTCGAACGCTTTTGGAATGCTCTCCCACCTCGTATTAAAACTGCTCAGAGTAAAATGGTTTTCAAAAGCATGAGCACTATCTCCATATATTATCTCATATGCGTTCTGTGTTCTATTTTATGTATATATCTATATTTACATATATATTTGTTTACGTATAAATGCTATCATGTTTTATGCTTTTATTAATTTGTTTATTTGTAATAATTTTTGGCCACTGTTATTTTGGTTATTTTATTGTTATCGCCTAACATCTAGACTCTTACATATTTTTCTGGTAGACTGGCAGCGAATGCCTATGGTATTAAGTCCACCTTTTGTATTTAAAATACAATTAAAAACAAATAAATAAAATAATTATATTTAGAATTAAATTGGGTGATTTTGACGTTTGATTTTTAGGGTTCCGTACTCAAAAGGGAAAATTGGAACCGTATTAATAGGACTTTACTGTTTTTTTTTAAATACCGGGCATTAAACGCAATTTTTACACTAACTTTAGCCGACGTTTCGAAGTTAAAAGTGATTATTTTTAAT